AAGCTTCGGAATGTTTTGGTTTTGTTTTGTTTTTTGTTTGTTTTGTTGCAGTTCCAACGCTTATTTCTTTCCTGAAATTCATAGAGCATAATATTACGGAAGTGCAACATTTCATCCACCATCTTGAAGGCATTCATTTGTAGACCCCAAAAAAAAAAAGTCAGCATTCAACAAAGTCTAACTCGCAACTGAACTCTCTCTCTCTCTCTCTATATATATATATATATATATATATATATATATATATATATATATATATATATATATATATATATATATATATATAGAGAGAGAGAGAGAGAGAGAGAGAGAGAGAGAAGGCGAAGGCGAAGGCGAAGTAATGGATAGCGGCTTGATTGAGGAATCGGAGAGCCGAGTTCGAATTCCAGTCGAATCCATTACGTTCACTTATGTGCTAATACCCTCAGGATAGGTATGAATCATCTTCTTTTCCCTCCAGCTATGGCCAAATAGCAGGACAGACTGGGTTCTATAGCCTTGAATGGCAACTAGTCTAGGAGAAGGACAAATCTTCAAAAAGTGTGGATGGTCCTGCACAAAGCCTTCACCACTATAATCAAATCATATCTGCTGTTGTCGGGCTGTCGGTTTCCTAGGAACTGATCTGCTTGACCCCTCATACGTCGTATTCGATATATATATATATATATATAGAATATATATATATATATATATAGTAAACCATGAAATCCAAAATTAACTCACGTATAGACCAATTTCAATCGACGAAAACTTCGTCAGTCTTATTCAACCCCGGTATATAGACTAAGTTAAATTTCTATACACCCGGTTTGAATAAGACTGACGAAGTTTTCGTCGATTGAAATTGGTCTATATCCCATATAAGGTAATTTTGGATTTTCGGGATTGCTCAAACTCATATATATATATATATATATATATATAATATATATATATATCCAAGTATAGGATTGGTGTGTACGGAATAAATTCCAATAACCAACAAATTCTATTCTTAAAAGAGTACTCTACTTTAAATAATTTTATAATTTTAAACGTAGTATAATTCAAAATATAATATTGGTAAGTTTGAATTTCATAGTATAATTTAATATTTATTAGATAGAATGAATTCTATTTTAGTCTAACCCTAACATTGAAACATTTCCCCTATCGAGGGATGTTTGATTGATTTGAACCTTTTAAAACCCTTTATTCTACATTCAACACCATCACTTGATAAGACACCAGAGGTGTTGAAACAAAATGGCTATTTTTGTAGTGATTTTATAACATTGTTATGTTATAATTTTCGAATAAATAATTTATATATATATATATATATATATATATATATATATATATATATATATATATGGAAGAGTTCACGGATTTGGACTGAAAAACAGATTTCTATCACCTCCCCTTTACATCTTTTTCATTCTCCTTTATCTTCTCATAACATTTCTTTTGATGACTTCCTGCGTACAAATTCCCACAAGTCTCTCATGTCTAAAGCTTCCGGTCGAATCACGAGAAGGAGGCTTGATTTCCTGTTTGTCTTCTCTTTCTTCTTTTTCTCCTGGTTATCAATTGGCACACACAGGCTCAAAAATAACATAGCCAAGCACATCAACATAAGCATAATCAATGTGCTTGGAAATCTTAATTTAAAGTAACTCCGGCTACCCCCAGTTGCCAGATAATTACGTCTCTTAGAACAATCGCCCTGATACAGATAAAACTTTTATCTATCCTACATTGCCTCATAATCTCCATTTACTTCTCCCCTCTCGCGTTAATACAACGACCCCATTTAATACCGCTTATCTTGTCTGGGCTTGAGTTATTATGATGCCTGTATAAGGTTGTAGCTTTTGTTAATCTTTGCCTGCTTCATCTCTTATGTAAAACATTAATATCTTCTTTGCTGATCGCTTTCTTTATGATGATGGCGATGGTAACTGCTCTGCCAACGGCTCAAGACTAGAAGCTTCCAAGATTTGGTTGGGGGTGAAACATAATATGAATCGAAGAAATTGCCAATAGCTGGAATTTGTTTAAAGTGAACCTCAACTTGAAAGGAAGTAACTCACACGCTTGATTTCATGACCGTCCTCTGCGGCACATATGGAATGAGAGGCCAGTTATGAAACTGTTCTGGTCAACCCTCTTACAGGATAATGAACTCTTCCTTCTCTCATAAATACAAACTGCGTGAGTCGGACGGGAGCGCAGAGTATGAAGTGGAGGGGTAGACGCAGTATCTATGTTCAATATACTTTTCCAACCTACCTTCGTCTTTCGTGTTTTTCTTTCTGGGCCCTAACAGAAACCGAAAACGGACCGCCCCTTACTCTGTTATAATTTTCAGCGGCGCCTTCTGGAACATGTCCGTAATGCGTAGCCCTCTTCATCCGCTGGTTCAACCATTGAGGTCTGTTATAATCGTCACCAGCTTGTTCCACCGTTGGGATCTTTGGGGTTGTTAGCGCTTAGTCTGGCTCCTCGTCTTCGACCATGATGCCAAGGGTGGCCTTAATAGTTTGGAACTCCTGACGGCACCATCTTTAATGCCATATTTACGACGTTTCGGTCTTTTTCCACTCCGGCCTTCTTCAGCTGTTTGAAATTTCGAACTGAACCTTTTATTTCGTCCAACAGAGTAGATTGTTCTAGTTCCACATGCCATGCCTCTTCCGGATGTCTCAGTTATCTCTTTTTAGCTCAGATCTCCAAGTTTGTTTTTTTTTTTTTGTGCATCAAAATTCTTTAAAATTGTATTGTTGGTAATTTTAATATAAATATGTATTGTTGGTAATTATTTTATACTAGCAGTAGAGCCCAGCGTTGCCCGGGGATGTAACAGTAAGAGATAGATCAAGTATCGACTGAAAAATAAAATTGACAAAGATTATTGTTTAAGGTTGACGGACACGCATGTCTTAATTAGTTTTTTTTTTTGTTTTGTGTTGTTTTTTTTTTGTTTTTTTTTTACGAATTGGTCAAACCCAAACTCAAACAAAAACATTGTTTTCAATCGTTATGAGTCTACCGATTGAACAAAATTTTATTATAAACAATTGTCTTGTAAATGGAATTTTTAAAGCATTAAAAGAATGTAAAAATAAAGAAAAAAGTGTGCAAGACAATAAGAAACACTACCTGCCCCCAAAAAGTGAAGTTCGATTGAAAAATATAGGAAATCCGATCCCATATATAAACGTACACACACACACACACACACACACACACACACACACACACACACACACACACACAAACACTCAACCTGGTTTTTATAAGTATAACTCGGTAACTCGATATTAATAAGTATAACTCGATATGAGTTGTCCCCCTTTCATTAATGTCTCTTAATTGTGTTTTCAAATTGATTTCGTGCAAAAACAATTGTGTTTTTTCCAATTTTTGGTGCTGTCAGAACCATCGCAAGGTAATTTTACGTAGTCCTGTGAAGTTTTGTTGAAATCGGTTGAAAAATGTAGGACATCCGATCCAATATATAAACGTACAGACACACACACACACACGCACACACACAATCTGCGTTGGTATTTTCACTATAAAAATCTTTAAAATATTTATAGTAAAAATACCAACAATAGGTTTTTACCAACAATTTCCATAGCTTTTTCTTTATAGTAAGGGTCACTATTTGCACATAGTTGGGACCTTAACAGATACTAACACGGGTCAGGGTGGACCTGTAAACAAAAGCAATTAAGAGGTTCTTCTAGACTCCTCAAAAACCTCAATCTCCTTGCTGCCGGATGTAGTTTATCGTCATACCCAGGACTGGCTTTAAATTAATTAACAGTTTAACCTATCGAAACTATATAATACTTAAAACCTCTTTGTATATCCAAATGGCCCTACAAAATAGAAAAATCCTAGGGTCTATTGCCAGATATCTGAGTCTTCGGAAACGGACGTGGTCGTAAGGATACAAACTTATGTTGGTATCATAGAAAATATATTATTATTATTCATTCGGTCAAGCTGGCGCGTACATTCATGAATCTGTCACACCGACCATTACGGTCTTGCATGAAGGTCGAAAGGTCATTAGGGTGGCATCTTGTGTCATAACATAGCTGGTCAGTGTAAATGGTTGCTGGCTGACCAACTCATCTTGCTATGTGGCTAGGTGTCCAGAGCAATACATCACTTGCGAGTCCTTTATTTGCTTGCCAACAGTGTCCTGCAAAGCGCATCTGCGTCCATGTAAGATTGTAGAAATATCAGTGATTTAGATGCATGTTGTCCCCAAGAGATGTTAACACTTTTAGCCCTGACCACCGTTTTACCGGTGGTAGAGAAAAATGACATAATGTCCAGCCACCGGTTGAACAGAGGTAGGAAACAATGACTTAATATCAAACTACCGCTTGAACGGTGGGTAAACATTTCTAATTATTTTTAAATCTACGCGAAACATTAGATATCAATTATTTACGAATTTTGACTCAGGAGCAGAAGGGTTAAAATTGTTCAAGAACTCAGGGCTCAAAAAGTTAAGTATTGCTCTCAGAGTTTAGGTTAAATCAAGGTAAGACTCCAGGGTTTTAGTTAATTGTCAAGGAGTGGTACCATACCTTAATCTCACCGCTATAGTACCTCGAAAGAAGCCGCGTTTCAGATTGTCTGCTAGATCAGATTTCCAGATTACAGCCATTTCATACAAGGCGGCCGAATCCTTCGCTACGCGAATTTTCACATCCTTTTTAGTATATTTTATTTCGCTTCCTAGATATTTAAAACATTCGGCCGATTTAATTCGCTTCCTAGGTATATAAATATTACGACATATTTTATTGATCGACCTGTGACATTTTGTATTAAGACTTGCTGGTTGAAACCTATGCAGAAGAAAACATAACATCACAGCTTACATTAGAAATGAATGCCTGACAATATAAGGATCATCTACGTGTGCATCCATTCAGAACATAAGCGATTATGACTTGCCATAACTTTCTATTCTTTGAAAAATTCAGAAGAGGGATACTGCGAATCTGCACTATCTATCTATCTATCTATCTATCTATCTATCTATCTATCTATCTATCTATCTATCTCATTCTATTCATATCTATCTATCTATCTATCTATCTATCTATCTATCTATCTATCTATCTATCTCAGTCTGTTCGTATGTAGATCAGTCTCTTTCTTTCTTTCTCTCTTTCTTTCTTTCTCTCTTTCTTTCTTTCCATCCCAGTCTGTTTGTATCTATTCCAGTCTGCTGCTTTCTTTCTTTCTTTTTTTTTTTCTTTCTTTGTATATACACATATATATATGTAAGCAAATATATGGATATAGATCCGACAGTATGAAGAAAAATATACGGAAAAAAAAAACAAAAATCCTTATATACAATTATGATGTTTTAATGATAATATGTCATGTTGAATTGATAATGTTAATTATATTTTATGAATATGTCCTGAAGATGGTTTATTAGACCGAAACGTCCGACGTTGACATATTAACATTAAAACATCATAATTGTATATAAGGATTTTGTTGTTTTTTTCCGTATATTTTTTTCTTCATATATATATATATATATATATATATATATATATATATATATATATATATATATATATATGTGTGTATGTGTGTGTGTGTGTGTGTGTCTATCTTTGTATATACATATATATATGTTTGTGCTTATATATATGAATGTCAGTCTGTTGGTATCGAGATCAGTCTCATTCTTCCTTTCTGTTTATCTATCTATCTATCTGTCTATCACTGCCTGTTCGTATCTATCTATCTATCTATCTATCTAACACCATTCTACAAGCTACAACGTATTTCTTTTTCCTTTCGTTTTTTCTTTGTTTATATATATATATATATATATATATATATATATATATATATATATATATATATATATATATATATATATATATATGCCTGTCTGTGTATTAACTATAATTACATCGACGCTAAAGAACAATAGGTGTCGATATATAGATAAGTATAAAATTATCATTTACTTTATTTACATTGTTGTCCTCATCTTTATTGCCATATTCACGATGTTTCGACCGTTGTACATTCGACTTTCCTCAGTTGATTGAAATTTCCAATTGCACCCTTTATTCCTTCCACCGGGGTAGATTGTTCCGGATGTCTCAGTTATATCGCTATATGGAAATACTACGGTGGTGTAATGGTTAGCGGCTTGGATTGATGAATCGGAGAGCCGAGTTCGAATTCCAGTCGAATCCATTACATTCACTTACGTGCTAATACCCTTGATAAAGGTACGAATTCTCTTCTTGTCCCCCCGCCCCAGCTATGGATAAATAGCAGACCGGTTTCTATAGACTTGGCAACTGGTCTACCTCAAAAAATAATAGCAACCTACTGTGAGGAGAAAATAAATCTGCCTCGTCAGTCATGTATCGAAAGATACATGGTCGCCTAATTGTGTATCACGCGTGGCACATAACTTACTGACAGAATATCTACTCAAAGATGGCACTATGCTTCCAGTAGAATCTGTGGATTACTATCAAATATTCTTAAGAATGTATAAATTTGGCACGTGAATTAGTTTGAGTCATAAATAATTTCTACTTTGATTTATCAAGCTTATTCTTTCAAAAACAAAGTAGAATTATATTGTATTCAACTCTCTATCCACTATATAACTAATTAAGTTTGGGTGGCGTCTTGGGTATGACGATAAACGACATCCGCGTCCTGGGTAAGACGATAATCTGCATCCGCGTCCTTGGTAAGATGATAAACTACGTCCAACAGCAAGGTCTCTGATAATACGTTTTTGAAGAAATAATGTTAACAGCTATACGTTTTTGAAAATATATATATATATATATATATTAACAGCTATACGTTTTTGAAAAATATATATATATATATATATATTAACAGCTATACGTTTTTGAAAAAAAAAAAAAATATATATATATATATTAACAGCTATACGTTTTTGAAAAAAAAATATTACCAGTTATACGTTTTTGAATATATATATATATATATATATATATATATATATATATATATATATATATTAACAGCTATACGTTTTGAAAAAAATATATATACGTTTTGAAAAAAAAAAAAAATATTACCAGCTATACGTTTTGAAATATAAAATATATATATATATTAACAGCTATACGTTTTGAAAAAAAAAATATTACCAGCTATACGTTTTGAAAAAAAAATATATATATATTAACAGCTATACGTTTTGAAAAAAAAAAAAATATATATATATATATTAACAGCTATACGTTTTTTAAAAAAAATATTACCAGCTATACGTTTTTGAAAAAAAAAAAATATATATATTAACAGCTATACGTTTTTGAAAAAAAAAAAAATATATATATATATTAACAGCTATACGTTTTTGAAAAAAAAAATACTACCAGCTATACGTTTTTGAAAAAGAAAATATATATATTTATATTAACAGCTATACGTTTTTGAAAAAAAAAATATATATATATATTAACAGCTATACGTTTTTGAAAAAAAAAATATTACCAGCTATACGTTTTTGAAAAAAATAATATTATCAGCTATACGTTTTTGAGAAATGGATTTTTGACAGAACAAAAATATTACCAGGAAAAAAATGTTGTCGGCATTAAGTGACCCATTGAGGTTGATATACCGTAAAACAAAACAAATTAATCCAAACTAAGATTGGGTGAAAAAGAAATTAAATCTAGAATGGGCGGTGCTAAAGGTAGATTTGCCCAACATCGCAAATAGTTATGAAACCAAAAGATCAACCCGAAAACTCCAACCGTGTTCTTAAATAGACACGTCAGATTGAGATTTCAGTATGGATGTCACGCATGGCGCCGGGCCCGTTCAGAGATATTTCAACTGTCAGCTGTATACAACCGTTTACTAAGACCGATGGTGAAAAAAGGCTTTGAGCATACTCGTTCAAATCCTGGGTGTCTTGGCAAAGATCATCCTTCTTTGAATATTGTGGACTGGCGCTACACAATCATAAACAAAGAACTGTACCAAATAACAGAAACAACATCACTTGAGCATTTTCAACAGCGGTAACAACTAAAATGGGTCACACTCGTAACTTGAATAGATAATAATGACATAATCAAGATGTTGGCTTTCCACACTACTCCAAATAAAAGATTGGGAAGGAAACATTCACCAACACTGTGAAAAGCGATAAAAACTACTGGTCTTTAGAATAGTCTTTTCAGAGAAAAATTTTATAAATTTCAACCGGAAAGACTGATCAGTCGATGTATACCAAAATATTTCCTTGTAGGGAGACGGTTAAAATTATGGTTAATTTGCAGTGTAACACCCGCACTCAGTTAGCATTAAAAATCTCCAAAATACTTACATTTATGTGTAATTGTACATGCTCCATTCGAATCTGGCTTGAGAAATTTGATAAAATCTACCGTTTTGGAGTTATCAGCAGTGAAACTTCGGATTCATTCACGTCGCAGGCAGCCTTTACGGGCGTTGTTTGTATACATTCACTGCAGAATAGCTACAGTGTAAGTATCATTGCGCAAACTGAGCGTGTCTACGTAAATAGTCCTCGTGCGCAGTAATTGAGACAAATTTAGACAAGAAAGATCAGTTCCGAGCTTAGCTTTCCGTTGTCTTCCGCGTTTAGCTTTCCGCAGTGAATGTATGAAAACAACGCGAGTAATGGTTGCCACCAAAGACGCGAATGAATCCCAAATTCCACTATCGATAAATCCAAAAAGGTAGATTTTATCAACTTTATCAAGTCAAGTGTTACACTGCAAATTAACCAATATTATTATCGTCATTTGCAATGAAATGTTACCATTATTCACTTGAGTCTTTGATACCTTTTGAGTAAAATTCCGTTTGTCTTTATCTTGTTCTTTCTTTTTTTTTCTTTCTTTTTTTTCTTTCTTTCTTTTTCTTACTAAAAAGCAAAAAAATAGTGCAACTCTCGTCCAGATCGTGAGGCGTATTTCAAATCTCGTCGTTCTACTGGCAATGAAAATATATTCATTTCGGTTTAGATTCTTCGCTATAATTAGCTTCAGAAGATTTTTTTTCTTTTGGAATAACTTCAGCGTAATTAATTGAAGTAAATATAATATTAATTTATTTTATTTCCTTTTCATTGCAAACAGCAGCCGTTCTGTGCCAAATTCACTAAAGAAATGCAATTTGGGGAACTAGGTCTTGTTACTGCCTTCTCTCAGATACGCGTACGTATGCGTACTAGCACTGCAAAAAGCTAAAAGAAAAACAAAACCATATAGCCTACAAATATTTGACTGTAATCATACTTATTATAAAATCCAGGTTGTGTGTGTGTGTGTGTGTGTGTGTGTGTGTGTGTGTGTGTCTGTACGTTTATATATTGGATCGGATTTCCTACATTTTTCAATCGATTTCAACAAAACTTCACAGGACTTCGTAAAATTACCTTGCGGTGGTTCTGACAGCGCCAAAAATTGGAAAAAATACAATTGTTTTTGCACGAAATCAATTTGAAAACACGATTAAGAGGCATCGCGAGATTGAAAGGGGGACAACTCTTATCGAGTTACACTTATTATAAAACCCAGGTTGTTTGTGTGTGTGTGTGTGTGTGTGTGTTCGTTTATATATGGGATCGGATTTCCTATATTTTTCAATCGATTTCAACAAAACTTCACAGGACTACGTAAAATTACCTTGCGGTGGTTCTGACAGCGCCAAACATGGGAAAAACACAATTGTTTTTGCACGAAATCAATTTGAAAAGACGATTAAGAGGCATCGCTGTCGAGAATGAAAGGGGGACAACTCATATCGAGTTATACTTATGATAAAACCCAGGTTGTGTGTGTGTATGTGTGTGTTCGTTTATATATGGGATCGGATTTCCTACATTTTTTAACCGATTTCAACAAAACTTCACTTTTTTTTGGCAGGTTGTGTTTCTTATTGTCTTGCACACTTTTGTCTTTATTTTTACATTCAGAATGCTTTAAAAATTCCATTTACAAGCAATTGTTTATAATAAAATTCTATTCAATCTGTAGACTCATAGCGATTGAAAACAATGTTTTTGTTTGAGTTTGGGTTTGAACAATTCGTAAAAAAAAACTAAAAAAAACAACACAAAACAAAAAAAAAAAAAACTAATTAAGACATGGCTGTCCGTCAACTTTAAACAATAATCTTTGTCAATTTTATTTTTCAGTCTTTATGATGGTCGATACTTGATCTATCTCTTACTGTTACATCCCCGGGCAACGCCGGGCTCTACTGTTAGTCTATATCTATAATTGTTGGCGATAATGGCTCTCCACTACTTCCTGTCCATTATAACCCTCTGTAACGATTTACTATCTGCTCTTGGACATATCTTTCATAAAAACTTTAATCAAAATAAATAGTTTAAATTATTACAATAATATTATTTATATCTATAATTCTCAAAATGTGTATGTATGTGTGTGTGTGTGTGTGTGTGTGTGTGTGTGTGTGTGTGTGTGTGTGTGTGTGTGCGAATGTTGCTTACGCGTTGCAACAGTTCTCATCCCATTTCGATGAAATTTTTTTGTTTGATAGATAATTCTTTAGTGCAGATTTGGAGTCCAAATTGGCTGGAAAAAATTACAACCTTGAAGGTGAAAAATCGAAAAAACTGATTCTTTACACTTTGCGCAAAAAATCAAAGCAAAATTTAATGTCTGTAAGAAACAGCTTACAATCAGTTTATAGTTTTTAAATCTAACGCAAAAGATTATTAGAATTATAAAATAAAATTATAATATACATAAAAATTATCATATATTATTATTATGACGGTCCGTGGGAGAGGACGCAAAATCGGGCCTTTTCATGGTCACCCGGTGTTCAAATTTCTAACACCCCATTTGGTATGTGTCTCAGTTGCCCCCAACTGTTGTTACTAATATTTTCGGGTGGGCTGAATTTAAACTTAAACTGCTCCAAATGAAGGGCAAACATTCCTAGTAATGAAACACTCGGCCAAAGGCGGGTTATACTGCGAGTAATAACAATATATATTCCTTGATAATAATTAAAATTGTCAAAAGAACATATAAAAATAGGAAACAAAAAATGTAACTTTGGAAAATTTATCTATTATCTATCTATCTCAGTCTGTTCGTATCTATGTCAGTATCTTTCTTTCTATCTTTCTATCTATCTATTTCTCTATGTATGTATGTATGTATGTATGTATGTATGTATATATCTATCCCAGTCTGTTCGTATCTATCCCAGTCTGTTGCTTTCTTTCTTTCTTTCTTTCTTTCTTTCTTTCTTTCTTTCTTTGTATATACATATATATGTGTGTCTATCTATATATATATATATATATATATATATATATATATGTGTGTGTGTATATATATATATATATATATATATATATATATATATATATATAAATGTCAGTCTGTTCCTATCTATCTATCTCATATATCTATATGAACGTATTTAAGATTGATAGATAGATCTATCAATCTATATATATTCCTATGTATGTATGTATGCATGTATGTATCTCTTTTCAATATATCTATGTATCTTATTCTATTCACACCTATCTATTTTCAATACTTTCATTTTCTATCTATCTATCTATCTATCTATCTATCTATCTATCTATCTATCTATCTATCTATCTAAATGATTAAAATCGTCAAAAGAACATATAAAAATAGGAAACAAAAAATGTAATTTTGGAAAATTTATCCACGGATTTGATTGGAATATTTAACAACTCATTCTCAAATTACAAAAAAATACGACAACAATAAATGAAGCAAACAAACATGGACGGTTGGCCCAAATCAGCTTAAAAAATATAGTCAAATGACAAATCTTCGGGCATTTACTTAGGGGAGCCATTTTATGATACACTGGCGACATTTCAATAATATTGTGGAAAGCCGTTCATTTGATAAAGATATAACGATTTAATATTAAGTAATATCCTCGCCTATCTAAGTAATGGACTTTTCAATATGGTGTTGTGAGTTTTTTCGGGATCGCCATCAGCTGCATCGTCATGAGTTTTTCAGCTGTCCGTTAGCTTGAGGAAAAAGAGGGATACTGAAAATCTGCACTTTCTATCTATCTATCTATCTATCTATCTATCTATCTATCTATCTATCTATCTGTCTTAATCTGTTCCTATCTATCTATCTGAATATTTTCATTATCTATCTATCTATCTATCTATCTGAACGTATTTAAGATTGATAGATAGATCTATCAATCTTAAATACATTCATATGTATGTATGCATGTATGTATCTATTTTGAATATATCTATGTATCTCATTCTATTCACACTTATCTATTTTCAATACTTTCATTTCTATCTATCTATCTATTTATCTATCTCAATAAGCATTTGATCTATCTCTCTATCTAACACTATTCAAAGCAGTTTTTCATTATCTATCTATCTATCTATCTATCTCAATAAACATTTGATCTATCTATCTCAATAAGCATTTGATCTATCTATCTATCTATCTATCTATCTATCTATCTATCTATCTAACACTATTCAAAGCTGTCTTTTCATATCTATCTATCTATCTATCTATCTATCTATCTATCTATCTATCTATCACCAATCGACAAACTACTGCGTATTTTTGTTTCCCCTTCTTAACTAGAATTCCTGTGTTTTCCGGAATATACAAAAAAGTTGCAACAAACGCCAATCGATAATTCGACCGCATATCGAACAAAGCAGGGAATGTTTATTTATTTCCACCTTGATAATTCCTTCATCGCACTCACGAAAGCTACTCATCCAGAAATGAAAAGATACACCAGGTAATGGCGGAAAGTTCTCAGACCGACCAACATAACCCCACCAAAAAAAAAAAAAGAAAAAAAAGAAAGAAAGAAAACTAAAACATGAACAGTTTCGATATTTGGTCAGACTTTTATGAAAATCTTTTTACGATATATATAAATTCATGGCGTCATTATTGAGTAGTCAAAATCTTTTTATTGGGTTTTGTATGACCTTAAGCCAAAATTTCGGCGTGAGGCGAGCGCAAAAGTTAAATTCGGGTATAGTATATTGCATTCACTTTAACACTCGGGAAAGACGTGAATATATTCCTACCCCACGATTTCGAGTTAAATTGTAACGTAGACTGAGTCCTCAACATTTAGGTATCAGGCACTTGAAAAAACAAAAACAAAAATTCAATACGTAACTTTTGGAGTAAGCTACGGCAAATTGATATTGAGAAGTCATGACAATTCACACAGATTAATGTTTTGACGCTGTGGAGAGCCATGATCGTCTAAGTTTAATTTCAGTTAAAACTTCTGTAACGTCATCGTCATAATGACAAATGAAAATAGGAGAACAGGGTCGGTGCGTACTACTACCAGAAAACCACGACCGGCAGGGGTGCAAGCCTGACTGCGGGGCCCGGTCAGTGCTTTTTGACCCTCACAACATCATCCACGTTTTCTTTTTTTTCTGCCTACATACGTTACAAATTAAAGTAAGCTAATGGGAAATCATCTATCGGTGAAGAACTCTCGACAACTTCTGGGTCAGATGCGATCTGTGTATACAGGAAAAAATCGCAATAATCAAGTACACAAAAGCTAACCAATTATTAAACCAACGTAACGAGCTTATCTTTAAATGTAGACATAAAAACAAACTTAAAATCCTCTAAAAACGCTTACCGAGTTTGACACAGGTAGTGGTGGTTCGTTGATGAGGATAGTAGCAATCATGGCACCACACCGATGTGTCGATATGTAGATTTGGACACGTAGCTGGATGTGCGTAAGTACCTATGTGATAGTATTTTGTGAACTTCTACATTCATGGTGGAACCCAAAACCCTCTTATCCAGGTTTCCAAAGTAATTCAATTTATAACGTTTCCATAATTCATAGCTTCTTCCTTAAGTTTGATACTTGTTTTTAAATGTCAATTCGCCTCTAGTTTCTCTAAAGTTATTTGCTGTATCCACCTATTGTATCTGAAAATATCATAAGGATTCCTATTATTAACTGCAACAGTGACTATTAATAACAGTCAACTCACTCTATAAACCCATTTACATAGTTCAAAAAGTTAAGAAATATCTAGGCAGGTCAGGATGCTAAAGCTACCACTACCCCGCCGTTTCCTTCTCACTTTCTTTTTCTCCAAACCTTTCACCTCCTCTACATCTCCCCCTTTTGTTCCCCTCATATCGATGTCTCGACTAACCATCTCTGCGTCCTGGGTATGGCGATAAACTACATCCGCGTCCTGTGTATGGCGATAAAATACATCCGCATCCTGGATATGGCGATAAACTACATCCAACAGCAAGGCCTCAGATAATGTTTTCGGGAAAATAATGTTGCCAGCTATACGAAACAATAATTTTTAAAAAATAATGTTGCCAGCTATACGTTTAATAGTATTGTATATTTTATATATATATATATATATATATATATATATATATATATATATATATATATATATATATATATATATAATCGACTCTCCAGTCGAGATTCGACGTATGAGGGTCAAGCAGATCAGTTTCCAGGAAACCGACAGCCCGACACCGGCACATAAGATTTGATTATAGTGCAGAACCATCCACACTTTTTGAAGGGACGAATACAGAGACCTGGTGCACTAAGTGTCACAAGGTCCCCAAACGACCCTCCGCAGGTTTCGAATTCAGAGTTGTCCTTCTCCTAGACCAGTTGCCATCCAAGTCTATAGAACCCAGTCTGTCCTGATATTTTACCCATAGCTGGAGGGAGAGGAAGATGAGTCATACCTTTCCCAAGGATATTTGCACGTAAGTGAATGTAATGGATTCGACTGAATTCGAACTCAGCTCTGCGATTCCTCAATCCAAGCCGCTATCCATTACTCCGTGCCTCTCATATATATATATATATATATATATATATATATATATATATATATATATATATATATATATATATATATATATATATGTGTGTGTGTGTGTGTGTGTGTGTGTGTGTGTGTGTGTGTGTGAAAAGTGTGTATAAGGGTTTGTCTGACGATCACAAAAGCGTAAAAACCCAGGGTCACAAACTCACATCTATCCAACCATATATATATATATATATATATATATATATATATATATATATATAACTAAATTTGGCATTACCAACCAACCAACCAACCAACCAACTAACCTAACCATCTTTCTTTCTTTTTATGTGCCATGTCCTGAAAGGACATGGGTGATCATGGCTCTCCACCTCCCTCTATACCTTGCAGCTCTCAGCAAGTGTCTTCCCTCTGTATCCTCCCCCAGACTACGTTCTGTCATCCACCTGCTCAAGCTCGTCAGATGTATCACGCGCTGCTTTCCCTGATCTTTCTTTCACTCTAATTGACACGTGAGTATCAGATTCTCCCAGCCCTCCTTCCTCATTATATGTCCCAGCTGCCTCTTTCTGATGTTAAGTATAAACCTTCTCCTTGTTTGAAACTTCATCGTTGATCACATGCTCGGTCAAGGATATCCTCAGCATCCTTCTGTAGAACCACATCTCCGTCGACTCGAGTTTCTTCTTCAACCTTGAGGAAATCGTCCAACATTCCCTGCCGTAAAGGAGGACAGATGTCACCTAACAGTTCAGCATTCTTTTCTTTGTTATCAAAGGAATCCTCCTGTCTCGCAATACTCAGCTCAGCTTTTGGAATGTGTCCTTGGCCATCCCAATACGTCTACGGATCTCAGTGTCGCACTTACTGTCTTCTTCAGCCATTCCAGAAGCCAAAACCCACTCTAAGTTTGGTGTTTATTTTTTGAATGTCTATCAACTCTCCAAAGTCATTTAATGCATCCACATATTGTACCTGACACATTATTATGATTTATAAGTATTATTTATTTTTATTTTATTATTTTATCATTTACTAGCAGTAGAGCCCGGCGTTGCCCGGGGATGTAACAGTAAGAGATAGATCAAGTATCGACCAACATAAAGACTGAAAAATAAAATTGACAAAGATTATTGTTTAAGGTTGATGGACACGCATGTCTTAATTAGTTTTTTTTTTTTTTACGAATTGGTCAAACCCAAACTCAAACAAAAACATTGTTTTCAATCGTTATGAGTCTATCGATTGAATAGAATTTTATTATAAACAATTGTTTTGTAAATGGAATTTTTAAAGCATTCTGAATGTAAAAATAAAGAAAAAAGTGTGCAAGACAATAAGAAACACTACCTGCCAAAAAAAAGTTTTGTTGAAATTGGTTGAAAAATGTAGGAAATCCGATCCCATATATAAACGAACACACATACACACACACACAAACAACCGGGGTTTTATAAGTATAGCTCGATATGAGTTGTCTCCCTTTTATTCTGGCGACAGAATCATATTTTATCGTGTTTTCAAATTGATTTCGTGCAAAAACAATTGTGTTTTTCCCATTTTTGGCGCTGTCAGAACCACCGCAAGGTAATTTTACGTAGTCCTGTGAAGTTTTGTTGAAATCGGCTGAAAAATGTTGGAAATCCGATCCAATATATAAACGTACAGACACACACACAATCTGCGTTTTATAATAAGTAAGATTATTATTTATTTATTAAGTTTCTAATTATTATTTGTACAAGTGAACACATCATAAAAC